GTCCATCGTTTTGAGTTTTTTCGCTTACCATAAGTTATTTTCCTTGGTTTCTGTCGTATAACCATTAGAGTACTTGATTTATGTTGTGTTAGTGTTCCCCACAAAAACATACATGTATACAAAAACATATGTATGTACATATCTTGTAAGCGTAAATGCATGTGTGTATATGTATTGGCATCATACTCAACAGACCCGGTGTCTATTTGGAGAATATTCTGCAACAGGCATAACTGTTGCTTCAAACTGTTAGAAGAAGGTCAAATGACACAAATAAAGGCAATAACGCAAGCTCTCATAACAAATTCAAACCAATATTTGTAGTCAGACAAAACGTTAATCTTTTTAAAAATATCATGCCTGTGGATTCTGTCTTAAGAAACATTTTTCGATTCTGGCTTCGAACCAGAATTTACGATTTTTAATATACATGAATTTAATAATGCAAAATACACCACATTTTAAAATAAGATGTTATTTAATACTCATATATAATTGCGATAAATACATTTGTATGTATGTATGCATATAGACAACAATGCTCATTTGCATCGGGTACAAATTACCTTTTGAATCTTAATGTTAAAATTAATATCGATTACACATTGTAAATTATTGAAATTACAACTGATCCGTTCAATTACAAGAAAAATGTTAATCATACGGAAAGCGTCAGGGATAAATCATACTATAGCAGTGAGAATTTTGAGTGCGATTTTCAAATCGTTTAAAATATATTTATTACGCTAAGTATGGAGATATTAAATAATGCAATATAAATAATAGAACAAGTACACAAAAAGGGAGGGGAGGGTGAATCAAAAACATGGAAACATAAAAAGATGTACGAATCAAAAATATTTCCGATAATGATTTTATTTTATAAACTATTAATTCACCTTTTTATACCCTCTGCCATATGGCTATAGGGGGTATATACCATTTGATAATGCCAAAACATGCCTCATCGTAATAACGGGTTTTGGACCCTAGGTCTCTATGGACGAAATCCGTTTCAGGACATTTGAAGTCGATCTAGGGGTGTCCGTCCGTCCGTCTGTCTGCATGGCTGCTGCGCACAATAATTGTCGAATGGAGTTTCTGATTTGGTCCAAACTTGGTCCATCGAGATGGGTAATATCGGTCTAATCCACAAAGTCGTAATTTTCAAAAAAAAAAAAAATATTTTACTTTACAGAAAGGGAAAGGATTATCGTATTTTGCTCTTGAAATCATAGTATTTGTGTCAGTTCTAGGTCAGGTGAGAAAATGGACAGTATCGGTACCTTCCGCACAAAGGGTCAAATTTTTGAATAATTATAACTCTTATATAATATTATGTCAGAGTCCAATTGTCTTGAAATTACACACTGACAATGTTTTGACAAATATATCGGTTCACTCCTTCTTCCCCGACGAAGGGTCAAAAATTTGAATATCCATGAAGTTCAAAAACGCGAAATTCACATCCGATTCCATTCAGACTTGGCACATCTCAATATTTCTATCAACACAAGATCTGTTAAAGAGACGGAAGAGATCGGAGAATTCCTTCTGATACCTCACCCACAAAGGTTCAAAGTTTTGAATAACCAAAACAATTATAAAATCCGAAATAAGTATCCGATTCTCTTCGTATTTCATACATTACAATATTTTCATTAACTCATGGTCTAGTTTGAAGAGGGAATATATCGACCCACGACTTCTTGTACCTCACCCACAAAGCGTCAAAATTTTGAATATCCAAGTCGAAACAAGTCAGCGATTTTTCTAAAAATTATTACATGTCCGATATAAAGTGAATGAATATAGTCGAAATATATTCGAAACCTGGCACGTCGCAATATTTATACCATATTTATTTAAGTTCGATACGAAATATTGGCAATATTGGCCCATTTCTTCGGAACCTACTCCAAACAGGGTCAACAATTTGAAATATTATACCACAAGTCAAAATATATTTAAATCAACGAAAACTGGCATTCGGCAAAACCCGTGGTACTATTAGGAGGTAGAACAACTTCGTAAAACTATAGGAAAAAATCGGCCCTGAGGCTGTGCCCGCTTCCTGTCAGACTCATTGAAAATTATATACAACAAGTTGTTTTCATTTTTTTCCTCATTTTTAAAATGAGTTAAATAGCGCGAAAAAACGAATGAAATGCCTGAAGTTTCTCTCAAAAATATGAGCCATGCTGTTCAATCTTTCAATTTCATGCCTAAACTGCTTAAAAGCATTAATGCGCGAGCGGCAATGTACGTGTCTTCCAATTTCTGGTTTGAAAATATTTTGTTTTCATTTTTCAAAACATTAAATACATACACATAATTGGCAGAAGTCGGGCACCTTTTTATTGTACCATGGGGCAAAACAAACGGATAATTGTTGACTTGTTCAATTAGATTTTTTATGAAAAAAAAAAAACACAAAAGAAATAGTCAGTAGGGGCAATTTATTTCTAATACCCTTACCCCATCTCCTACAAACAACGAATTGCCACCAGAAAACATGCCTGATATAAATTCGGACTTAAATTAAGCTCTAATTTTATACGTCTACATTGAAATATTACTGTATATACTATTCGATAATATTTTTGATTTTCTATTTTTTTAGAAACAACTTGTCCAAATCTTTGTTGTTTTTGAAAACGAGTGATATGTATTGTGAAAATTCTGTTTTTGGTATTTTGTCCAACATGAAGTAGGGTCTTAAAGTTTAATGTCAAAAAATCCGTTTTGAACGAATAAACCCCTTAATTGTCAAAAGTAATATAGTATTGGTATTTAAGTAGGCTATTAGACGGAATATACTGATATGGTCTATATTTGCACCGGATCTTAGTTGGACAATTATTCTCTTTATAAGAATGTTATGATTACCAAAATTTATGTCCATTGAGAGCGGCTTACCCAGATTATGTCCGATATGATCCATTTTCCCCTTTTAGCTTAAGTGTGATAAAAATATGGACGCTTGTGAATGTAGCATTATTTTTATCAACGTCGTGTGCACTTTCCACTTCTTGATGGGACCTCCTGGCATAGGGTCAAAAATTATTTTTGTCCAATCTTAAGATAATAAGATTGACCATTTATTTACTTGTATGTGTACTATTTTAGGACCTACCGACGTAAATTAAATCTAGTACAAGTATTTCAAATGTGTGAACATTTTGTAGAACTGGGAAATATTTTCGAATTTCATGAGAATTAAAACTACCCAAAATTTTTACCCTTTGTGGGAAAGATAAAAAAAAGGTGGCCGATAAACTTCATATTCACACAAGATCTAATGTTGGTGGCATTATACCATTATGTGAAGTTATGAGAGTTATGAAAACATTAAGTTCGACCAGGCCGAACTTTTCATATTCTCCACCTTTGGGTAAAGAAAACATTTTTACATAAAAGTGTCTGAATTCAAACGTTTTCCACCATAAACTACAAATACCAGTAAGACCGTTTGGATAATGCTTTTTTAAAGAAACCATAAAGTTGATGAAGCCGTTATGTGGGACCCATACCAAAACGGTAACCTCCATAGACAATTTTATACTTCAATGATTGTCATCTACTAAATCTTCTTATATACCAAATTTGAAACAGGGTATCGTTATATGTGCGCTATGGGAAAACGTGGACCTACATATTCAAAGTTCGGCTTCCGGATCTAGTTCCCATTATGAACTACAAATACAAATTTTTATACAAATCCATGAAAAATGTGCCAGAAATGATCAAAATACCGAATACCTAGTCGTACCGTTATATGGGTCTATACAAAAACGTGCATCCATATATACTATGATCCGCCGCCGGAGCTAGAGCTCGTTATGACCTAAAAATACCAATTCTTAGACAAATCCGTGAAGAAAATGTGGCAAAAATTATTACCGAATATCTGGAGTGCCGTTATATGGGGGCTATGCAAATTCGTGAACCTATACATATAATGTTTCGCCACGCGAACTAGAACCCACTATGACCTATAAATACCAATTTTTTGACAAATCCGTAGAAAAATGTGGCACAAATCAACAAAATACCGAATATCGAAGGGTACCGTTATATGGGGATTATACCAAAACGTAAACCGATGTGTCTCATTTTCAATATCAACCATCCTAGACACAATACAACTTGTTTTGTTAAATTTTGACGCTCTACGTCAAATAATGTGGGCTGTATAGTGATTTAAACAGACAGACAGACGGACATCGTTAAATCAACTTAGAATTTTATTCTGATTTTTAATATATATACTTTATGGAGTCTACGATGAATATTTAGGGATGTAACAAACGTAATGACAAAGTTAATATACCCTCCTTTCCAAGATGGAGGGTATACAAATATTGACCCAAATTTGGCACTAAGATCCTCTGTACCTCTTTTATAATATGTCAAAATTTAGATAAAAACTATATAAAAAAGGGAATCAATGCCCACAGCTTATTTCTCCGGTGGCAGAATCTTGGCTATAAATTTCCACGTTTACTTATCGCCCCCACATATCTTTGTGGTATTTTGAAGACTTAACTACTTTAAATTTTCGTCCCGGTCGATATAAATATTTTTTATCATTCTTAAATTTATTTCTCTATTAAACATTGACCATTTGTTTTAGGCCATATAAATAGCACTTTAAATGCTCATTGTCGAATATGAAACGAATACCTCAAGTAATTCATATATTACAAAAAAATGTACCCCAAAACGTGTTGTTGTTGTTGTCGAACACGAACACCACCAGACAATTCTTTGCCTCACTTTCGATGCTTTATGGTTTGTCTGCTTAGTTATGTTTCTTCGATTATTATTCCTGACCTAATTTCAGGGTTGTCTGACGTTTTATCTTCAGCATGTGTGTAATCCTTGGCAACCTGTTAGTGCATGCCACACAGACACACACACACACTTATTTCATATTTTATTAATTTTTTTGTCCCACATTTCTGTTGTGTCTCAGAGTTCAGTTATTCACTTCAGGGTTACCGTTGTGCGACTAAAGTTGCAATTTGCAACCTTTTTGATGATCTGTGACTATATGTGCAACTTTTTTATTATCTTCTAATTTTGCCACTTTTTAAACTTTGTGCGACCTTTTTGCGACTTTTTTATTGCTCAACAATATAAGTTCTATTCTTTTTTATTTGGTATAGTGCATTTATATTGTACTGGATTTAGTGTACAGTATTTCACATATATGTCAAATAAATCATCATAGATGAGGTAAACCCTGTAAAAGTTCAAATGTACATGCCGTTCAAATTCAAACTAATTTCACGTCGCTATTGCTAACGCCGTACGCTGCAATTATGCGACACAGTAGTTTGATCAGTTGTTTGTGTTACCTTTTGATCATTATTCTTTGAAAAACGAAAACAACGACATTGGCGAAAGAGGAGTGCAATTAAATATATAATTAAAAATAAAGAGTACAGCATTAAATTGAATTCAGTGAAGTAAATAATTAGTATTTTGTGTTATTTTGAAAACAATATTCAGTTTTTAGACGCTTGTGCTCATTTTATATTAAAAACAAGTGTTTGTAAAAATCTTCTATGGACAGGTAAATATTTGTTTTTTTTTTTTAATTTTTCAAATATTAATGTTTAAACTTAATAGATTTATTGTTAGATCAAAAAGAAAGGCTGACGATGAATCTCCCAACAAAGCAAGGCTGACCCTGGGCAAAGGAGCTGACACGATAATTGAAACAAGTTCAGAATCTGAAAAGAACACCGAGTCCGAATCGGAAAATGATGAAGAACCTTCATGTTCCTCCAAAAAACGCAATATTTCCCGGTATTATTCCAAGGAATGGGAGATGCAATACAGGTGGCTTAAGCAAGATGGTGAGACAAAGCGGCCCCTGTGCATTGTTTGTAAACAACTTTTGTCAAACCAAAAAAACCATCTTCGACGACATGCTGAAACAAAGAAACATCTTAGTAACATAACCAAAACATCTGAAAATGCGAAAATACAACTGACTGATTATTTGCCACATCGAAATACAGACTTACGAAAACATGTCGCTATTGCTGAAATTAAGTTGGTGTTACGTGCAATTACAAAAAACCAATCTTTCAATTCTATGGACGGACTTGGTAAATTCAATTCCATGATTTTTCCTGATTCAAATATAGCTAAATTGGTATGTAAACATATTTTGGTACCAAAAAGCAATAGGTATATATATTGTTTAATTATTAAGGTATCATGTGGTCGTACAAAATCAACTGCAATTGCACAGTTTCTCGGTAAAGAAGGTCAACTCGCTATAGTCTCTAAAATGCAAAAACAACAATTTAGCCTCATTATAGACGAGACAACCGACATTTCCATCAATAAATGTCTAGTAATGGTAGTGAGGCAATTCAACAAGGACCGAGGAAAGACTGAAGATAATTTTTTTCAATTAGTACAACCAGAAAATGGAAAAGGCGAAACAATTTGTAATGCCGTTATTGAATCACTAGAAAATAATAAGATTCCCTTAGAAAATTTTATCGGGTTTGCAACTGACAACGCTTCCAGTATGGTTGGGAAAAACATTGGGGTGTCTAGTTTATTAAAAAAGAAAATCCCCCACCTGTTCCATCTTGGTTGCGTTTGTCATTCTGTAAATCTTATGAATATTTCAGCTTTGAAATGTATACCAGAAGAAGTTGAAAAGTTACCCAAGAACATTTATAATTTTTTCAAAAGTTCAAACAGGCGAGTAGATTTTTCAGAATTGCAGGATATGTTCAATGTCCCAGAACACAAGCTTTTAAGTCTTTCGGATACTAGATGGCTTTCGTTCGAGTCGGTGGCAAAACGAATTGTAGAACAATGGACGATATTACAACATTATTTCCTTCGGGCTCAATGTGAAGAAAAATGTCCAAGGACAATGGATAAAATACGTGCAATTCAAGATGGATTGTCGTCTGAAAACCTCATTTATTTAAAATTCTTGGTATATATTTTGGGTCTTATGAATAAATTTAACAAATGCTTTCAAAGCGAGTCATCACAAATAGTATACCTGATTACATATACAAAGGAAATTTTACTCCAAATTTTACAAAATTTCCTGAAGAAGGAATATATATCGGTCACAAAGCTAGAAAGTATAAATTTTAAAGATACACATAATATAAAGATGTTTTAAGGTCATGAAGCTGAAACAGAAATGCAAGCTAAAAATATACTTGATGTTGAATGCATAACTATAAAAAACAATATTTTAAAATTTTACCAAAAACTTTGTGACGAGATACTGTCAAGGATAAATATAAACGATAAACAATTAAATGTTTTAAGAGTTTTGCAACCAACATTTTTTACCTCAAACGAAGACTTTAATTATATTGATCTCATATATGAATTTAATTATATTATAAGTGAACCTGAAGCTTTTATTAGCGAATTCAAACTATTAGAAAGTAAAGTTAATGATAAGTCATACAAACACATTTTTAACATTAAAAATGTTGAGATTTTTTGGCATACTATAGGTAGTTTAAAAAATGCTTTAAACGAACCTTTATATTTACACCTATACGATTTTGCCGCACATGTATTAACCCTGCCCCATAGCAGCGCTTCTGCGGAAAGAATTTTTTCTAAATTAGGACTAATGAAAACAAAATTAACTAATAGATTAAATGTAACAACTTGTGGATCCATGCTATCAGCTCTAAATTTGCTAGATGCAGGAATAGAGGAATGGAATCCCAGTGATGATCTCGTACAAAAATACAGAAACGAAGTTTCAAAAAAATGAAATTATAATTTAATTTTGTATTATTTTTTATTGAATTGTTATTTAGTTTTATGTTTTTTATGTTTTATGTTCTTTGTTTGAATAAAAATCTTCAAAATTAATCTGTGCGACTTTTTATTGAAATTCTGACTTTTCTGTGCGACTTTTTTGTATGAAAATGACTTTTTGTGCAACTTTTTCAAAATTCCCAGCGGTAACACTGATTCACTTTCTTTGTCTCTCTACATCGGGTATTTTCGTAATAAAAATGTATTGCTCTCAGTCTATGTTTACTGTTATGTTAGTCTCCTTTAGTTTTGACTGTTAAATGAGAGACATTCTGTTAGGGGTTCATGGGAGCGTATTTGTAATACAGAGTAAGCATACGTATTACATGAGAGCATGGTTGTGTGTTGGCATTGCCAAACCGTTCTTTTGATGGCAACACGTTGTTGAACATTATTCTTTACATATTGTACATGAGGATGTAAAGCACACACTCACATCCATAAACAAATATTCATGTTTGAACAAATGTAATGTACACTTGTAGGCAAACAAGACTCTGTCCATATCGAAGTCAACATATTCTGTAAGGACCTCCTAACATTCACACATACATATTCACATGTTGGCTGCTGATAGCCATTCGCTGTTGCTTTTGTTGTGCTTCCACTGCGAGTGTTTTTGTGTGTGTGTGTGCGACCCATTGAGACATATTAAACTTGACTGTTAGAAAATGAGCAACAGTTGCTTTAATACGACAAACAACAGCAACACGGTTCACATAACGTTGATATCCTTCGGCCACATCGGACGCGTTTCGGTTTATCAGCGTAACTCCGTGTGTCTAGTGTTGTTTTTTCATTGATACCCAGTTTAGTATTCAGTGTATTTTGCCTAGATGTTTGTATGCGTGTGTGAGTTTGTGTTCAACAGAAGGAAATTGAAAGAAGCATCGTTTACTTCGTTTCGAATTGTTGCTTTTCACGTACGTGTGTGTCAGTGAACGAAGGAGCCGAGAAAGAGACAAAAAATCAATAAATAAATTTAATTATTAAACATAAACTTGTTTGCGGTTTATCCACCTAGGAATAGGTGAATGCAAGTCAACATTTTTCACGTGCTCGAAACCTTATGGATTCGACTTGTATGTTCGTAAGGGATAATTTATCTCTCGCCTGGCGTAGATGATTGTCCGGGTTGGTCTGTACGGGTGGCATTGTGTCTGCAATCGTTGGATGCTGTGATGTGTTGCCAGTGTATTGCAAAACCACTTTTATAATTGTCTCTATGTGTGTGGGTGTGTGTGCGTGGTGTGTGTAGCCGTGAAATAAAGTTTCACATGTGCATGGAAGTGTTTTTTTTTTGTTTTTGATTTTCTTCGTAGAAATACCCCTCCAAAACTTGAGTAAGTGTTAATTGTGTAAGTTGTTTAAAGTTAATAGATGTGATGTTTACAAAATAAACAGGCGAAAATAGGAAACTTTTAGTTATCGTGCGAATGTGTATAAGTTTTATTAAAAAAAAATAATAAACCGGCGAAAATGAAAGAAAGAAAAAAAGTTAATTCACAAAGTTCTCGAAAACAGAGGATATTTGCAGAGCTCTTATTCGAACGAAAGATTTTCGTAACACTTCCGCTGCAGTCTATTGTTTTTTAATTACACTGCATAGGATAAGCAAAAGCTACCTTAAGTCTTGCCAGGACGTGGCAAATCTTACATTAATCTCATATTGTTTAGTTTAATAATTCCCCCATTTGGAATAACAGTTGGGGTTTGATCATCTTCAAAATTCTAACTACAGTTTCAAACGCAAATTTATTACATTACATTAATCTCAAATTGCTCTATTAGGAAATTCAGTATGCTTTAAGATAAATAAAAAAAACTTTTAATAAGTTTTTATTAAATTAGTGAAGTTCTCAAAATAAGTAAAGTATTTCTTGCGGATTTTGCAATTCTTGCGGAAAATTTTTTTTTTAATGTTTTCCACCCACATGACGATATTCTGAAAATCTTTATTTTTTATTCCCGAAAACGAGGTTGTTTTCTTTCGACTTCGAATCAAATATTTCCGAAATCTTTCGAAATATAAAAATATTAATTGGTAAAGCAAAATATAGGGTGAGATAAAAAACTGCAAAAAAATCAAACGCCAAAATTTTTGAATGAATGAAAGCAAAAATTTCGGAAATAGCATAGATTTTAGAATAAGTTTAGATTTGTTCGAATTGGTCACCTTTGGCACAAATTGGCCAATAAAACCGTCACACCCTGCCCGAATGTTGGTCTGCGGTATTTTTGTCCATTCCCGGCGAAGCGCTTGCTTGAGGTGATCGACACTGTGGTGTTTTTTAGTGCCAACCTTGCTTTCCAAAATACTCCAGACACAATAGTTCAACGGACTGGTATCCGGAGATTTTGGTGGCCAAAATGTTTACGGCAAACATTTTGGCCGGTAAAGAGCGATGGTACGAGACACAAACGATTTATTCACATTTAAATGCTGGAGTTTTCTAACGATAGCCACTTGTGGTTTTCCAGCCAAATATAAAGAAATCACACTATCACGCTGGAATTCCATCACGAATAACTTTTTTTCTGGAAAAATTCTCTCCAAAATGCTTTTGTACGCTTTCGAACAGTATAATGAGCTGTCACTGGAATAATTTTAACACCTGTCGGACGAGTGGCTTAGAAATAACAGCAGTCTGAAGTTGGTTGCAGCTTTTTCATCTCACCCTGTATGCATTAACAAAATTTATAATTTTTGTAGAGAAATAAAGCTTTAGAGATATATAGAACATGATTTTGAAAATAAATTTTGACTTTCCATTCAGTTTTCGCGGGCTTCAATTATTTTTTTCGAAGTCAATCCAACAATTTGTTTGGGTTTGTTTTAATAGTAATTTTGACATTACAAGCCAAACAGGTAGACGTCTATAATTGGAAACTATCAATAACAGCAAATTTTCGTGCGCTTATTATTTCGGAAAGTAACGAAATTTTTTCCGATGAAAATAAAGTTCTCGCTAAGACCTACAGGAAAAAATCGCCTAAGTCGGGTTTCAAATACAAATAATTTTTTAAAAACAGTAAATAAAGGACAAAAGTCGGGCGGGCCGACTATATGATACCATACACCACTATATATATATTTTTAAAAAGACTACCCGTAACAAATAAACGTTTATATTCGGAATTTAGATATTTAGATAATGCCAAATATGAAACTTTTATGAATACATATTATGGCTTTGAAGCAGTTACTTTTTGAAATCGGAGGCAACTTATGTATGGGAGATATATCTGACTCTGAATCAATCTCAGCCAAATTTGACGGAGGCATTCATACCTCTCATTCCAAATAACATTGCTATAGAATTACTTCGGTTTAATGTGCAAAAGTCCATTCAATTTGGGCTGATATTATATAATTGGTGCACAAAATACATGAAATCGACTGAAGATATATATGGAAGCTATATCCAAATCTGAATCTCTATAAAATTTGAGAGCTGTATAGGTTGTATATGTGAGGTGCATATTACGAAAAGCCAAATCACCTGAAATATAATTTTGCAAAATTTCATCTCAATCCCAATTGTGGGTCTTTTTTGTTTCCTTTTTAATGCTATTTCAATATACATTTGCAAATTTCACCATTTGTCTTCTGTTATGATATAAATTGTTTTTTTATACCCTACAACACTATGTGTTGGGGGTATTATAAGTTTGATTGGGCCAAAAATTATGTAACACCTCGAAATATTGGTTTCCCACATAGGAAAGTATATATGGATCTTCCTATCTCGCCGAGCTGAGTCGATCTAGCTATGTATGTCCGTCCGTCCGTCTGTCCATGTTAATTTGTAATCACTCTACAGGTCGCAATTATGGCCCGATCTTCACGAAATTTAGAATGGAGGAGGGGATAAGGTCAGAATAGAACCCTATTCTTTTGGAGATGATCGCACAATATTTAGGGGTCGAAATGGACCAAAAACTGAAAAAAAATCCTGATTTTGCAGTTGCTCTACAGGTCGCAATTATGGACCAATCGAAGCGGAAATTAGCATGGGCTAAATCTTCGGGCTGGGCAGAAGCCTTCCGATTTTGATGGTCATCGGGTAATATTTAGTGGGTGAAAAAGACTATAATATTTGTGATAAATAAAAGTCAAATTTCCATTATACCGCGAATATTTTTAGTCCCGGCGAAATCATAAATAGACGAACAGGTCAATTCTGACCGTTACGTAGATGCCGATATGTATAGCGAAATATATACAATGTGTATATACAAAGGAAAGGAATGTTAGATGGAATGCTTATATCTCAAGAATGGCTGGACCGATTTTGACAAATTTGTCAATTCAGAATGCCCTCTTGACATAAAAGTATAAAATCTAAAAAAATCGCATAAAAATAAGTCAAAAATGATCTTAATATAGATTTTTTAGTATTTTGTGAATTTTTTTTATTTTTTCATATTTTTTATCGCATGCGATTTTTTCAATTTGACTTATAATATTAAGGTGTACATTTTGTAACATTTTTACACCTTACAACATAGGTTTGGGATATTATATACAGATTGCAATTATCGTCCGATCCTCACGAAAAGGGTAGGGTTAGGCTGAGAATGACTAGCCTATTGTTTTCAAAGATTTCCGCAATATATTTAGGGGTTGAAATGGACCAACAACTAAAAATGTTCCTGATTTTGCAGCCGTTATAAAGGTCATAAAGAGAGTTTAGGACAGCGTGTAGAATGGACCACTGCTTTTGTCTAACAGAAACCAACATTACTTACAGGCGATAGCCGAAATACACAAAATGCGAACTTCTGCCTTTTTTTGCTGATTTCTTTGACGAATATAGCCAAATATCGTAGACAAGAAGATCGTATAGAAGAGTCTAAATTTGGAGAAACAGAGGAGCCTCCTGCTTTTGGAGATGATCGCAAAATACGACGGAGTGCGTAAATATTGGCCAAATGTCCCTGGTCAAAATGCTAAGGGTAATATCTGAGCAGTGCTCCGTCACATAATTTCAAAAGCGAAATCTTCCAAAATGGATTTGGACATAAGGGGCTTCTAACATATTGTAGTGTTGTAGGGTATCACATTGTCGGCCCCGCACGACTATAGCCTTTGCTTACTTGTTTTTAACATAAAATTGCCCCTTTTCTCAATACAGAATATAAAATGTCTATCCACATTTACATTTGTGTATAGATTGTTACATAAATTACATCGATTTATAATTATTTCATACGATAGTATTCGATTATTTATGTCATGGTAACGACAACCCTTTACCGGTGACAGCAAGTTTCCAAGGTAGACAATACCATTATCCCACATATGAAATTTCTTTAGAATTGCTAATGGAAGAGAAAGCGTTTACATTTACGAAATTAGAATACGAAAGCAAATGACGAAAATGATGCGCATTCACTCAATATTTTTTTTAAAAAAAAAAGAAAATTGGGAGTTTTTATAGGTCTATTTAACATAAGCCGCTTATGAACTCTTTCCACATGTGTTTTTTATTTGACTTTATTTTCTATAAAAATACAAATTATTAAAAAACAAATAAGCATAAAGCGAGGTAGAACTGACCATGTGATACCCAACATGGCAATACTTAAAGGTGAAGTATCTTTAGGTCTGACAATCGATGAATCCTTTATTATATTGAGATGAATAATAGCATGTTCACACGATAAATTGAATGACGTTGTTTGCTCTCAGTATCACGTACACGAATTAACCCGTTTATACGGCACGATTCGTAATTCATAGTAAAATAATTCCTTTTTTCAAAAATTTTGTTTGTTTAATTTAAATGGGAATTTATACGAAAATACATTAAATTCACACTAATATGAATAGAAGAATTATTGTTTTCCTCCCAAAGATTTATTATATCATTAATTTTACAATTTTCATTCATGTTTTCAACTTTTTGTGTAAATGTTGACATTTTGGACATATTTTAGTATTTTTCTATTTTCAAATTCTGCTAGAGAGACACTTGTTAAACTTTTTTTCTGTCGACAGAAACATTTTGAAAATATTGCATCTTTTGTTTCCAGTTTTCTGTGGAAATTTCAACTCGTGGACAAAATGCGCACCTCGGATGAGCGGATGAGATAGAAAACAAAATGTACTTTCGTTTGAATGTACATACGCCATTCAACATTGTAGTTTTCATTCATAATTTTCAGTCTTCCCAAAAAATTTTAAAATTTCATTAAATTTTCCTATTTTTAATTTTTAAATGTCATAATTAATTTTTTCGATAAATGCTCCCATTTGTTAGGGATGGGATATATTTTTCGTTGTTCTGAGAGTGATTTGATTTGAACAACTTACAAATATGAGTGTTCGCTCAGGAAATTTTGTGTGAAGAATTAGATAGTTTTTTCATAGTTAAGGGCCAAACAACGAATAGAGAGCGAATCAAGTGCAGTGGAAACGCCACATAATTGTACAATATTTGCAAATGTCGAAGTTGGTTTCTGTTAAATACACTTTTACCGATTATTTTAATGACTACACTACATTTACACAGTTTGGGAAAATAACAGTACGTTTATCTATAAATAGGTTAACCGACTGGATTTGGATTTAAATTGTCATATCCATTACTTATACTTCAAATAAATCCTCTCAAAGTAGGTTAACCCTATAAAAAGTTCTAACGTAAACATGGCATAAAATAGTGTTGCATTTATTTTTTAGGTTTATTTGATTTAAACAAAATTTGTACTTATTTACTTTGAAAAAGGTTTTTTTTGGGGGATTTTATTACAATTTATCTATAAGTGCTGCAAAAATACCCATCCAATTTGGTAATTTTTTCTCGATTTCGAGTGATTGGCTTCGTTTTGTTTTCATTTTCGATTCCTCTAAAAAAAGTAGACATAAGAAAATGGTGACATTTTTTTGGTATTTATCCTCAGCAGCTTCCCATAAAAGCTTCGCTGATTTTATATGCATTCAAAATTTTATATACGAATATTTTGTTGTTTTTAAATAAAAATAAAATAAATTTTAGAATATATCAAGTAACCTAAGGCTATAGTCGTACGGGCCGACTATGTGATACCCTACAACACTATAATATTTTGGAAGCCCCTTAGGTTCAACTCCATTTTGTAGATTTCGTTTTTGAAACAATGCCATATAGTGTTGCAGGGCGTAGAAAAATTTTAGGAAATTGAAAAAATCGCATGCGACAAAAAAATATGACAAAAATTGAAAATAATTTAAGAAAAATATTTACTTTCTTTTTGGAATATTTTTAAGCGATTTTCTTAGATTTTATCCTTTTCTGGCAAGAGACCATTCCGATTTGATGAGAATTGTGGAAATCAGTCCAGCGGTTCTTCCAATCTATCTATCCAATATCTTCGCTATCAGAATCACTGTAATGATCAGAAGTGACCTTTTAATGTATTTAAGATTTTGTCGGTATTAAAAATATTCGCGGTTTAGTGATTTTTTACATAAAAGTTATGGTCTATTAAACTGCTAAATACGGCTTAGACCTAAAATCTAGCCCCATGCTTAATTCCGCGTTTTTGATCTATAATTGTGACCTGTAGAGCAAGTGCAAAATCAGGAAATTTTTCTGTTTTTGGTCCATTTGAACCCTAAATATTTCAAACAATGCGGGTCTATTCTGACCCTAACCCAACCTCCATTTTCAATTTGGTGAGGACCGGGCCAAAATTGCGACCTGTAGATTCATTACAAATTAACATCGAAAGACGGACGGTCATACATAGCTCGGTAAAATAGGACGGGGACCAATATTTCGAGGTGTTAGATAGTTGTTGGCCCAATTAAACTTATAATACCACAACACATAGTGTTGTAGGGTATAAAAACGTAGTAGTAATGTAAGGCTTTTGCTTTTCCTACAGGAGTGGGATCAAAGAAATCGCTCGGTCTACCAATGAGTGAACATGCCAGGTACAGCTCACCATGAGAAAAGCAAGAAGAAGTACTTGTCCTTTGGATTTATTAATTGTCATAGCAAATACCAAGCGTACCGGAAACTGTATTATTTTAAAGTTTACCGGAATGTCTGTTGCTGAAACATGAAACATTGTTCTGCAGTGAAATTGTTTTTCCCAAAAATGTGTACCTACAATAAAATAAAGAAAATAAATTGAATCACAAAACGTCATATCGAATCTGACACTACTATTACTATAGGTCAATTCAGCTGGGGTTTGCTACTACCTGTAATTATTATACCCAACAAAACTTAATAGGCTAGAAAACAAAACAAAAAATGACAAAAAAAAAATTTATTTGAAAAATGTTTGTCATTTAGAAAAGAAAATCTAGTGAGAGCGATCCATTTTCAGTTAAAAAATCGCTGTCAATATCTCCGCCAAATATATGAAGACTACGTTACAAATTTGAATTTGGGCAATGGCATCTATGCCATCAAATTTTTTTGGACAAAAAAGAAATTTCCAACGAAATGGTGGAACAAAGGCCGTTGTTTCTAAGAAGTCATACGGTGAAACATTTTTGCAAAATGAGTGGAATCCTTGTCTTCGCTTGCATAGGTGTTTCCTTTTATATGGTTGCCTTATTTTAATGAATTCTGATTCAGTTTGTTAATTTGGATTCAGAAGGTAAGTCATCTTCAATTATATCAAGTAGCATAGAACGTGGCACGTATTGTAAATGTTTACAGCATTCCTGGGCGAAGCTTGTTTTGCTTTCCAAAGTCTATTTGGTCTAGTCTATCAATTCTCCAAGGCAGTACCCGATTAGGTCAAGACCTAGCAATTCATCTTCGTAATGTAAGGTCATGTTAGAATATGGGTAAGGTACGAATATTGACAATATCAATATCCTCTAAAGAAGTATAAAATGGGAAATTATGCATCGATTTTCAAATTATGAACCAAGTGTAAAGTTGGGATACATGGGCTCAGTTTTTTCGGTAGCGCTACTACAAAATTTCGAAATTAAAAAATTTCATGCTAAATTATATATTATATTATGTATATATTATAATTATATTATGTTATGCCAAGATTTGACATGCCAATCTTGGCATAACATAACATTTCTATAATGCTAAGCTAAAGTGACTATATGTCTACTTTCCTTCGTACCTCCCTTCACCGCAATATGTTTACATATTGAATGATATATCCCATAAAATGTCAAATGCCCCATATCTGGTAAAATCTGGTGTTTAAACGTGACATTTCGTCTGCATTATCTGACCATCAAAAAACTTAAATCATGTTTAAGCAAATGGAGTTTACGACTAAGTCTAAATACTATTCATGGCAAACACAGGTCCGTACACATCTTATGGCATATCTCCACAATTTAAACTGAACTGGATTGAATATTCATAACTCTCAACATTTGCGAAATTGATCATTTATTTTATTCAAATAATCTTGATAATATTACACCAAGAGCGAAAAATAAAATGGAGGAAATTGGATCCTGAGTTTTCCAAAATTCTCGGTGGGTCTAATCATTTTTATACTCTCAGTTTATATATTATACCCTACGCCTGTGCATTTGTTTGCAACAAGTTAAAGGAAACGATATGTACCCATTGGTCCTTTTGATGATCTCTATAGAATCACATTCTGAGTCGTTTCATACTTATGAATCCGTTCGCCTGTCGGCCTGTCCGTTCGTCTGTCCATGTATTTTCATAAGCAAAGTACAGGTCGAATTTTTGTTCGATTGAGTTGCGTTAAAGGTGAATTTTTTGCAGTGATCGTTTGTTTAGTCCAATGACGAACCCTATTGAAATTGATGATAATCGGTCCTCCGATTTTTATTTTATTGTGCTCCATACATAACCAAAAAGTGGATTGAATTTGGCACATATGACCAAAATGAGCCTAGAAGCGTAAATGTCAAATTTAGTGAAAAATGGTATAGATATTCGTAATATACACTACACAACAGTGATACTTGGTACCTGCAAATTTTTTCAAGATCGGTTCAGATTCGGATTCCAACTTCAGGTTTATGTTGCACCAAATGGTTAATATCAACCCAAATTAAATAGATTTTGCCACATACATTCGAATTCAGCCTTCCACAAAGTGTGTCAAATGTGGTTTAGATATAGCTAAAGGTCTCATATATATGTTTCATACGATTTTGTATTTAAGTCCCTTACACATATAAAATCACTCCACAACAACAATATTTGGTGTTAGTTATAATATACAGCATAAAATACCTTTACTAAATTTTATGGAGATTGATTAAGATTTGGATACGATTTCAAGCATTTTGTTCAGCAAATGTGTAATATTAGCCCAAATAGGATGAATTTTTGGCAATGACTACCAAATATAACCTTGAAGCAAGTATGTCAAATCGGTTCAGATATAGCTGTAGCTTCGTCCATAGTCCCAACAACCAAAGACATATAATATAATAAGATGGGACATTATATTATCATTTCTCTTCAATAGATGGCGTTCGTAGTAGAAAAATATGTTATGTCTCGATATCGTGACATAGCATTATGTTATAATTTAACAGAGCTGACACTTTTCAAGGGTTGTTGTTGATTCTATCGATTCAATGTACAAGGAAACGCTCTGGAATAGACTTTTGAGAGCATGTCTGTCATACCTGAGATTTTTTTCTCGTATTTCCGCCAATTTTCGGCGATATCGGAATAACATATTTTTCTAAAATTTCCAATGCATTTCTGTTATTACCTGATGGAAAAATTAAAGCCCATATGCATTTTGTCCAATCTTTATAGTTCTATGTCTTTGCAACAACCTTGCCAAATGTACATATCTTTGTCCGATTACAGTCACATGCGAACGAATTTAGTCTACAAGTAATGTTATGAAATTTGGGGGAAATTGGTTCTGATATAGCAATAGCTCCCACATCACATACATGTTCAATATATAAACTTTTATAACCTTATATCGTATTTTCTTATAATTTTGTTTACTTGCTTACTCAAGGACTCAAATCAGCGAACGTAGTTTTAAAACTTGGACGATCTTCTCTATGCCGCCGTTACTTACTCCTTAGTTTCTAAAATTAAGATGTTCTGCCTTGTATGCTTAAATAGAAATAGTTATTATATTAACATTTGCATTCAGGTAATGCAGTGGATACTTTTAATACCCTCCACCATTTCGAGGGAACTTAAGGATTTTCAAAAAAAAAAAAAAAAAAAAAAAAAAAATCGAAAACTATCACTTAATTGATAACCGTTATATGGGGACTATACGAAGACGTGAACCTGCAAACGACATTTTATGTTATAGGCTGTAGTACCCATTGCGAACTTTAAATACGAAATTTGTTCCAATTCCGGTGAATAATGTCGCAAAAATCATGAAAATACATGGACCTGCATACGAAATTGTTTGCCATAGGTTGTTGTACCCGTCAAGATCTTCTAATACGAAATTTGAAACGATTCCGATAAATAATGTTGCTGAAATCATCAAGATACCGAATATCGGGAGGTACCGTTATATGGGGCCTATGTGGACCGACATGGCCCATTTACAAACTCAACCTGTCTACTACTATGCATGTATGCAAAATTTTAGCCACCTATCTCAATTCGTTCGAAAGTTTACGCTGATCCAGAATTATATACTTTGTAGGGTCTATTATGAATATTTCGAGGGGTTACAAGCGGAATGACAAACCTAATATACCCTCCACAGAATTGTGGAGGGTTTAAACAGCTCTGACTCCACTTAAAACCTCTCTAAAATTTATTTCAAGTTACAGACAGCACAGACAATTTTCTGTCTTAGGCTGTCGTACTCATTACGAATTTCAAATACGAAATTTGAAATAATTCCGGTAAATAATGTCACTAAAATCATGAAAATACCGAACATCGGGAGGTACCGTTATATGAGGCCTATGCGAAAACGTGGACCGACATGGCCCGTTTACAAACTCACCTATCTCAATTCGTTCGAAAGTTTACGCTGATCCAGAATTATAAACTTTTATAGGGTCTATTATAAATATTTCGAGGGGTTACAAGCGGAATGACAAACCTAATATACCCTCCACAGAAAAAGCACTGACTCCACTTAAAACCTCTTTAAAATTTATTTCAAATTATATTTTTAAGTTGACGATATACAAATTGTCATAATTGCTATTCAAAAGGTAATTAAATTTTTTCTTTTTCATTTCAGAATAAACAATTACTAATGTTTGGTCGACATATCCAACTATAAACAATTACGATAAGCTCCTCAAAGAGCCCTCATTGTGGTCAAATAATATTGCAATAATTTTGTGGTAAATTTGTGTGCAGTTTTTTGTTGTTGCTTTTTTATGGGATCAATGATTTCGAACATTTTCCCAGTCCGAAGGCAGAAAGTGAACGGTGATTGTAAAATATTTGTGGGATCGCAATTGCTGCGGAGGAATTAAGAACACCACAACACTCAACAACAACAACAAAACAAACCAACAGCAAAAATCCAACAAAAAGTAGAAAACGGATAATATAAAACGAGTTATTCTTCTTCGTATTTGCCAATAGCATGAAACAAACCAATGACGACGACAACAACAAGAACAGCTTCCATTGTGGCCCAACAAATGGCAGCATAGAAATACAAAACGCGTTAACAGATTGTGTTGCAAATTGAGTGTATTTGTCGTTGTGTTTGTGTGCGCTTTGTGTTTTCGGTTGAAATCAATATTTAGTTTGTGTTTGAGATTCCGGTTGCAGGCGATAGCAACCGGAAACGGAAATTTCAATTTCAACATACTTATTGCTTATATCGAAGAAAGATAGATTGTTAGATAGAGCAGAGCGAACTAAACCATTTGTGGCAGTAAACTAAAAAGTTACCTTCGTTTGAAACAAAATCCACTCCCATTCTGACCACCGCAATACCGAAAAGACCACAAAACAAATCCAGGAACCACTGTAAATGTCAATACGGAAATAGTGGAGAGCCATTGAGATTGGTGTAATTAAAAATCTCTCTATTCCGGGAAAAAAGTATTGCAATAAGTTTTATTTTGTTGTTTGTGGCCCAAAGTTTTTCGGACACATAGTATCCATCCATTGAATTCGCCTGAGAGAGCAGCGTTAATTGAAAAACTCATTGAACTGTTAAGAAATTTATGTGGCATTGCAGTGCCATTATCGCTGGAATGTGATTTGATCATCATTTAAGCAGCTAAGCGATACCTCATTTCAATTGATGAGAAATTTCTTGGAACAGCATTGCGGATTGACAAAAAGGTAAGTAAAGCGAATTTTGGTATGAGTAACTATTGCAATATAAACCCAATTAAATACATTTTTTTGATGAGATATTTGAATTAAATTTTTTTTAAATATGTTTGGGTTTTGGAAAAAGGCATTATTTCAAGATTTCAAAGTAAAATCATCCCAGAAACATATCGTTAACTAGCAGTTCGTTTTTTGCTATTTATTTATTGTTATTTCCGGACCGAGTTTCACAATGTTAAGATTCGGTTGAATATAAAAAAAATCTATTAAATTTGGGCTAATATTACAGATGTATAGAAGAAAATGTATATTGAAGCTATATAAAAATCTGAACCGATCTCGACAAAATTTGGCAGAGGTATTTTCGAGTAGTATTTGATGCCCGGTATCAAATATCATTGTTGAGGAGTGCATATTGAGTGCAATATATAAATGGGAGTTATAGCTATATCTGAACCGATTTACACCAAACTTTGGAGCGTCAAAATCCAGTCCATTACCACTATGTAGGGTATAAGACCCAGGTCAAGTGCAAAAGTTGACAATATTTTTCCACCCAGTCTAGTACCTTTACAGAAGGAAAATTAATTGAACTATTTATAACTCAAGAATTTAATCGTGTAAGTGTACTAAGATGTACTAAAAATTGAAAAAGTTTGGGAGCCAGGGTTTATATAAAGAGGTGGTTTTGAAAAGTGTACTTGGTATAGAAACTGTACTTTGGATTTGGTTGAACAAATGGATCTGAAAATTTGAAATGCTGATATTGGGGCAAATATAAGTACGTAAGGTTTAGATTTGAAGGTGGTTTTAGAAAGATGTACTAAAAAGTTCGAAAAGTACTAAATGGTACTAAATTTGAATTTCGTTCACAGGTATCTTTTTATACTCTTCAAGACACCGTGGTACAGGGTTGTATGTCTTTGTGCATTTGTAAGTAACATGCAGAATGAACGGAGTAGACTCATAGTTTCTTTTGACAACCATCATAGAATCACATTCTGAGTCAATTTATGCCAACCCAAATCTGAATACCGGATACAAATAGAGATCTCAATGTCAAATTTCGGGATTCTAGCTTTATCTCTTCACCCAATACCAAATTTAGTACCACTTAGTACTTTTCGAATAATTATAGTACACATTTCCAAACCACCTTTATATCTTAACCACGGACACCAACTGTGACACCCAATACAACATTTAGTACCATTAGCACTTATAGTACCGTTGAGTACGATTCGTCAAATTATAGTACACATTTCCGAAACCAAATAAGTATGTTCAGGCTACACTTGAACTGCGACCCGAATACCAAATTTCAAATTTCAAGCACTATCAGTTCATCCAATACCGAATTCTACTAAATATAGTGCTATTTGGTACTTTTCGTGCACTTGTAGCACACATTTCCAAAACCACCTCTTTATCACAAAACCTACCACCAACAGGGACTTCCATACAAAATTTCGAAATTGCCGTTTCATCCGTTCACCCTAAACCAAATTGTTCTAAATGTAGTGAAATTTAGTACAGTTCGTACAGGGAGTATACATCTCAAAAATCATATTGACATATCAAACCTACTTTCCAACCTTGATTCTCATAACAAATTCCAAGTTTTCTGCTCTATCCGTTCACATAATACCAAATGGTACCATTTTAGAAGTTTTGTATCATTTTTCGCAACCTTAAAGTTCGAATTTCCAAAAATCCTTTGGTACATCTACATCAGTGCTCTCAATCCAAATTTCTAGCTCATTCCCTTTGTCCAATACAAAATATTCTTGGTTTTTAGTAAATTTGACTACTTTTTATACATTTTAGTACCAAAAATCTCAGTCTTGTCACACGCCTAATCGCCAAGACTTACCCTCGTGCTAATATTTCCAGCTTCAAACGTTTCATCTGGGATTTGATTCTAGGTCAGTCAATCAGTTACGGGTTGCCCATATTCGACGTACCCATCTGGCAACGCCATAACTTTTGACAGAGATGTCACATCGCTTAATGACATACCGCGTTTGAAACGTCAGTCCAAGCAGATTTTTACCATGAACCAATACACGCCACGCGAGCGCTCTGAAATAGTTGAAATTTACAAAAAGTCAATTGTGAAAACTCAACGTGCTTTTAAAACATTAAAAAATGTGAGAAGTGCGCCTTCTAAGAACACCATTAAGCGTTTATACGAAAAATTTTCGACTGGTAAGTCTCTTTCTAATCCGAAGAGGCCATATAAAAGTCGACCAAGGCGATCGGCCGAGAATATCGTTGCCGTAAGAGCCAGGTCCCCAAGAACATCCCAAAAACTCCGTAAGAGTGGAAATAAATGTAATAAATAGGTAAATGCCATGATACTTATTAGATTCGTTCTTTATCACACCAAAGTCATTTATTTTCTAATATTTGCCTTGATAACTGTGATATCACAACGTGTTGGTGTCCTCCAAACAATTATTGTCGATATGTTAATTTTACTTTTTACAATAGAATTGATGTGACAAGGTGCAAGTGTGTGTGTGTACCTCCCACACCTCACAGCTTACGCTTCAGACGGCAAACAAACACTTGTTTTAATTAAAACCGGTGTTGCAATTCAAATATGTTTGTAGAACGCGACATAAATACATTTTTTTCTTGTTATGAGAAGGTGTTTGTTACGTGTTAAAATATTGCCACGTATTTAGCAAATACAAACGGTTACTTTCAAGGACTAACATCATTTCTATTCTCATTTTCATTATCCTTATCACATCGTCATCATCATCATCATTGTCGTCATAATAGGTAACAGCATCAGTTACATGATTCCATTTCCCACGCAGCAGTAACAGCAGCGGAGGTGTGTTCAGTCCTCTGATATTCGTAATGTGAAAATGGTTTCCTGCCATCATTCTGTCTGACGTTTGCATTTACATTCGTTTGTTCGTTCCTTGTTTTGGTGGTCCTTGGTGCGATTTGAGTATGGGAATCATGTGTGTGAGTATTCACAACATCAGATGTGAAGCTCATCTACACATAAATAGTACATTTTTTACTATTTACTATTTATATTTTTATATTTTATATTTTCGTTAAAAAAATTAACTTGGTTAGATAAAAATAAATATCACATTTTAGAATCCGGGCTTTCCAAGTATAAAACTTGGAATTGGTAGTACCATTTTTTGTACGAATATACACTAAAGATATACTATAAAATATCTCGAATCATTACTGACCTATTTTCGAAAATTCTAGCTAGCAAAATACATATATGTACAAAAGTTTAGTCAAAACAAGGAAAAAAAGCAGTAAGTCTGGCCGGGCCGAACTTCGAATGCCCTCCACCATTTGGTACAAATTTGGCAATTTTCAAAAAAATAAAATCCGTTAAAAATTCTGTTAAAATGTTAAAAATACCGAATGTAGCCATATATTAGGGTACATACGATGACGTCGACCTGCATAGGCAATATAGGGAGGTACCATGGGGTTATAAAACGTGGACCTACACAGACAATTGTCTGGCATGGGCTCTAGTTCTCATTACGAACTTCAAGTACAAAATTTGAAATAATTCCGGTAAATAATGTCGCTAAAATCATCAAAATACCGAATATTGGGCGTACAGTTATATGGGGGCTATACGAAGACGTGGACCGGCACAGACAATTGTCTGGCATAAGCTGTAGTATCCATTACGAACTTCAAATGCGAAATTTTAAACAATTCCGGTAAATAATGTCGCTAAAATCATCAAAATACCGAATATAGGTACCATTATATGGCGGCTATACGAAGACGTGAACATACATGGCTCATTTTCTGTCTTAGGCTGTAGTATCCATTACGAACTTTAAATACCAGATTTGAAACAATTCCGGTAAATAATGTCGCTAAAATCATCAAAATACTGAATATAGGGAGGTACCATTATATGGCGGCTATACGAAGACGTGGACCTACATGACCCATTTTCAATACCAAAAGTCCTGCAGACATAATACACATTTGAATAGATTTTTATCAAATTACTTCATTTTGTTCGGAGGCTAGAGTGATTTCCACAGACGGACAGATGGATAGACGGACAGACGGATGGACATTGCAAGATCGACATGGAATTTTATGCTGATCAAGAATATATATACTTTGTGGGATATAAAATGTATATTTTATATGGCGTTACAAACGGAATGACAAACTTAATATACCCTCCATACTATGGTGGAGGGTATAACAATATCGAAATTCCATACAATTCCGTTGAATAATGTCGCTAAAATCTTAACTTTACTTAAATTGGCGTTACCGTTATAAGGGGCTACATCAAAACGTGGACCCACATAGCCCGTTTTCAACACCAAAAGTCCTGCAGATCTAAAACACATATGCATTTTTAACCACCTAAATCATTTCGTTCGGCAGCTAAAGTGATTTCCATAGACGAAAAGAAAGACAGACGGACGGACATCTCTAAATTGACATAGAATTTCATGCTGATTAAGAATATATATACTTTGTGGAGTCTAAAATGTATATTTCGAGGTATTACAAATGGAATGATAAACTTTAAATACCCTCCATACTATGGTGGAGGGTTTAAATGCAGTGGGTTTTAACAGCTTGCATTTTACATTACACTTTCGTTAGTTAAACATTTTTGCAATCCATCTGGAATTGTTTTATCATTTGTGGGCGGGTGTCAGTCAAAGCCGGCTTTCTTACCTACACAAAATGTTTTGAGTTACATGTAAACATTCAGTACAAACTGAAGAAATATAAATATACACATGCACAGACACACACAGACACACACACGGTCTTACGCACACTTCTACGTTTATATTTATACGAAATAAGGACATTACTGTTATTGTTGGTAAAAATCTTTATTTAACAGCATGTTAAGATGTTTGATACAACCTCCGTAAAATTTACAATTCGACAAACGAAGTAGGCGGAACAACGACATCGACATATAATTCGATATTCTTACAAACATAATTGCGTAATAAATTGCA